TTTTTTTTAATTGGAGTACCCAAATTAAAATGACATGCAAATACAGTGATGTTACTGCAGCTTCCACGTGCAGCTCTGCAGTGCCCTTCCCAGCCTGCTGGCACTCTGGCCAGCAGATCCTCCTTCGCCATCTGCTTCTTCCTAACTAAGGTAACTCCTGGAATCCTGCAGAGCAGGAAGCGCCTTGGCCAGAGCCAGGCAGCTGTTCACCTCTGGTGCTTGAGAAACAAGCTGCTAAGACAATTTCTTGTGCCCATTTTTTATCATTTTTGGCCATTATTCAGGTACTGCTCAGAGCCAGTCGCTGTCAAAGCAAATCCCATGTGGAGAGGGGCACCCTACCCAGCCAGGCTGATGGGGAAGCATCAGAGCACATAACATTTATAAACCATTACATAACACAGGTTTTAAAGAAAACCAAGTGCCAAGCCCTTAAACCAGGGTCACAGCCAGGCAAGCACCTCCAAAATACCAAGCCAGGCTTAGAATAGAAATAGAAGGGAAAAATATAATTAAAAATAGAAGAGGCAAGAAAAGGCAAGCGTGTTCAGCTGTGAGAGTAAGCAGATTAGCAAGATAAAAAGAGGAACGGATTAACAGAGATTAATACAACTTTATTGGAATTGGCTAGTACAGATTTCCTTCTACATCTCAGCAAGGATTCCCCCCTTCCCTTCTCTTCCCCAGCAGGCACAGCCCTGGCCCTGCACGGTTTAGCACAGCACGAGTTTCCAGCAGTGCCCCGGGAGCCCCCACCACCCCCTGCTCTCAGGGAGCCCCTGCCCTTCACCACAGCAGGATGGGAAGGAGAACAGCCCACTCAGGCCATGCCAACAGCAGAGAAGAAGCCATCAAGCTCAGGAATGCACCAGAGGGGCAGGCCAGGGGCTGGGTGGGCTCTGAGCCCAGCAGCAGCATTGCCATGGCTCAGGAAGGAAAGCAGGGTCACCCTGAGGACAGGGTCCCACCCAGTGCCTGCTCTGGAACCAGGACACCCCAGCCAGCTCTCCCCAAGGAAAGCTCCAGCTCCCAGCTCACCTCCTGCCCCCTCGCAGCCTGCAGCAGGTTCCCTTGGCAGTGTCCCCCTCCAGCTGGCCCAGACACCGTGCTGGCCACTCTGCTGGCCACTCTGCTGGCCACTCTGCTGGCCACACGGAGCAGAGCACCAAGGCAACTTTTCCACCCGGCTCCAGAGGCAGAGTGGAGGAGGTGGAGGCACAGGGGAGGGTTCTTGGGGTGAAACAAGCCCCAGCTGGGCAGTGACCAGCCTGCACAGGACCACCTTCCCACCCACACAGCTGCTGGGGCTCACAGCATCACTCAGGGGCTGGCCGAGGCTCCCAAATGTGCTGTGCTCTGTCCCCAGCAGCCCCTCAGCAGCTGTGACCTGGCCCATGAAGTGATGCTGTCTGGGGAAGGACTGAGCAGGACAGAGAACTCCCTGTGAGCACCAACACAAGGGCAGAGATCCTACACCTGCACCAGGAGCTACGTATCGGGGGCAGGCTCACAGTCACCACGGCCCCAAATGTCTCTGGGGTACAGAACAGACAAACAGGAGGGACAGTGCAGGCCACAGGTGGCTGCTGTGGCTACTTCTTCTCCTGCTTCTGCTGCTGGTACCTCCTGAAGTGGGTCTGGATGGTGATGGCTGCCCTCTCAGATGGGTCACTGACCTTGCTGTCCTTGCTGGCATCAGGGCTCACGTCACCTGGGGGCAAACAGCATCACAGCAAGCACAGACAGTGCCAGCAGCCCTGAGCAGGCTCCCGTGGGGTCAGTGGCCTCCCCACCCCTCAGACAGGACAGGGCTGTCCCCACTGCAGAGCTCACAGCACGAAACCACAACTCCACCAGCTCACAGGAACATCTCCAGGGCAGAAGGAGCAGGGAACGGGAGGCAAAGCAAAGCCCAGCCTCCCTGGCAGTGCTGAGCCCTCTATATTTACACAGCTCCACTCCCCGAAGGCCGCAGCTTCGCCACGTTTAATCACCACGTATGATGCTCACTTACTTTCGCAGGCACAAATAAGATTAGAAAAAAGCCCGGCCCCGCGCAGCAATAAAGCTCTCACGCTGACAAATGGGAGCCCTCCCCGCTCCCGCTTAATGTGGCATTAGGGGAGTATTGTGAAATTCAACAGGAACTGCATCAAAGGCACTCAGCAGTGCTCCTCTAAGCCGGCGTGTCACTGCTAAGCACCCCCCGAGCAGCCATCAGGAATCCTGGGGCCAGATGCTGCTGAATAAACTCACCGCTGCCACCTGAACCCACCTCCCTTCGCTGCCTAAAAGGAGCTGCGGAGTAAAAGGGTAAAGAAAAGGAGGGAGAGGGGTCCCCCCTGCCCTGCTCAACAAGCCACTGCCAGCTGTGAACCTGCCCAAGGGCAGAGGCTGAGCACAGGCACTGCTGGGTGAGCTCTGCCACAGCCTCGCCTGCCCGAGGGGCTCAGCCCCAGCCCTGCAGCCATGGGGAGGGAAACCAGAGCTCCTGGGCCACAGGAGGGATGGCACCCCCAGAATGGAATGGAATGGAATAGAATAGAATAGAATAGCATGACCCCAGCTGAGTCAGTGGGGCAGGCTTCCAGGGAAGAGGGGAGCAGGGGTCTGCACAGACACACGTGAGGGGTTCTACATTCAGCCCTGCAGCACTGGCAGCTTCACTGGCTGATGCTACACACATTAACAACTGTCTCATCATCAAATACCCCTCAGTAATGTCACAGACAGATTTGTGGAAGGAGAAAGAGGCCAAGAAGGAAGCAGGTACTGCAATGCCTGCTCTTCTGCTGCATCCAGTCCCAGCCATTAGTTCCACCTGTAACTTGTGTTAACTGGGGGGGGTTTCCTGTCCCACTGCCTGTTCCACACTCACCTTTCTCTCCAGAAAGTGAGTAGATGCTGTTGTGTCGGGAGTTCCTGCCTCTCTAGAAAGGCAGAGAAATAAAATAAAAGTTAGTTCTATCCCAGGCAGAGGCGGTGAGGGCAGTCCCTTCAGGCCAGCCAGGAACCCTCCTTCCACTCTCCATTCCCTTTAGGAAACTGGAACCTGCTTACTGTTGCTCCCTTAAAGAGTACTGATTAATTAATCTGCATTTATGGAAAGACCTCCAAGGAGAGGCAGGAAATAGCTTTGCATCCAAACTCAGAGCTGTGAGATGCTCCAGTCCGTGGATGGATGTTGGCACAGCCTATCCTCACTGGATCTGCATTTCAAACCACAAGGAGACAGCCCCTACACCATGAACCTGCAGCTCCTGGGCTGCCAGGTCTCCCAGGGGATATTTCCATTTCTAAAAATAAGCTTGAATTTGTCTGCAAATACCACTCCAACATTTTCCAGCTTACCCTCCCCTCTTGGCATCACATTTCCCCCTTGCCTACACCTCCAGGCTGCCTGGCTCACAGCTGCCCCTGCAGCAGCACTGCCATCCCCTGAGCTGGCTGCCCTGGCAGTGCCAGCAGCCTCCCCTCGCTGCCCTGGCAGTGCCAGCAGCCTCACCTCGCTGCTCTGGCAGTGCCAGCAGCCTCCCCTCGCTGCCCTGGCAGTGCCAGCAGCCTCACCTCGCTGCCCTGGCAGTGCCAGCAGCCTCACCTCGCTGTGCTGGCAGTGCCAGCAGCCTCACCTCGCTGTCCCGGCTGGTGCGGCGGCTCTGGGACACGCACTGGATCTGCCAGGGCAGGGGCTGGTACACCAGGTAAGGCAGGGGCTCCTCACGGAACAGGTTGGTCCCCAGCTGCACACGGGGAAGGTTTTTCAGCAGGGAAGAGGACAGGAGAGGAAGAGGAACAGAAAGAGCTGCTCAGCCACAATCACCACCAGCGATCACAGCCCTCCCCGGCCACTCCCTGGGGTGACAGCAGCCCCGGGGAGCTCCCAGCCCTCCTGCCCGAGCTGTGCCCAGGCAGGTGAGAGCAGCAGCAGGTCCCTCCGGGCACACTCACCTCTCTGACCACCCTCACCACGAAGAACAGCGCTGTCATCAGGGTGCCCAGCATGGCCACTCTGGGGCTCCCAGGAGCTCTGGGAGCAGCACCGGGACCTCCAGCAGCCAGGACTGAGCTGTGCCTCCTCGGGCAGGCTGAGGCCAAGCCCTTAATGAGCTTACAGCCCCTGCTCAGCTCCTCAAGTAATCGGGCCCTGCCCTTTTGCTCTTCTAATTGCAGAATTTCTCCAACAGACACGGTGCTGGCATTCCAGGAAAGGCAAATCCTCTGCTCCACGCACACAGGCACGGCGGGGAGCAGGGGCAGACACCCAGCCCAGCCTGGGGTCACGCCTGCTCCCTGGGGACCCACCTCAGCAGGCTCACAGCACACTCCAGCTGGGATTTGGGATGTCTCACCACAGCAGCAGGGTGGGCAGACTTGTCCCCAGCGTGTGCTGCCACCAGAGCTCCTCCAGCTTTCCGGAGGGCAAAGACACGCCAGTGCAGCTCAGGGGCAAAAAATCCTGGTGGTGGTTTGTGTTCTTTTTAAGGACAAAACTCTCAGCCTCCACTTGTGCACCAGCAGCTGATGCACACCCTGCTCACCCCTCCAGCTCCCACAGGCTGCTGGCAGGAGATGGCAGCGAGAGACAAACACGTCACCAACCCTCCCTAAGGCCTGGCAGGGTTACTCAGCGATCCCAGCAGCACCCAGCACGCTGCTGGGCAATTCCTGGCTGCTCCCAAAGCCATGGGAAAGCAGCAGCCACAGCCAGCTGCAGTGAGACATCTTTAACAGGTCCCAGGCTGCCAGAGCGACGCCTCGCTTTCCTGCTGGAGTTTTGGTTTGCAGCTTTCTTCTCTCTGCCTCTGCGTTTGCTACCTTGTCCAGATACTTAAAGGAATAATGGTAACAAAGCCACAGCCAGCTTAAGTGGTCTTGGGAACTGCCAGAAATGACCTTGGCAAAAGAAAACATGAGAGAGCCCAGAGACAAGGGGAGATGTGAGAGGTAAGTACAGCTGGATACCCAGCTACAACAAAACAGAGTGACAACCACCACCATCATACAAAACAGGCTCACGTTGATTTAATTTATACAAAACCAGATACATCTGCTCTCCTGGGTTTTAACAGGAGAAAGGAGCATGTTTCAAACCAAGTTATTGTTAAAAAAAAATGGCATTTCCCTGCACCATTAAGGCATGCTTCTCCCAAAACACAGAATGGACTCAGTGATATGGCTTTGGCCACAGCAACCACAACTGTGGGGTCCCTTCTAAAACCCATGACTGGAAGGATTGCCATGTGTCCTCTGAGTATCCAGGAAACTAAAAGCAAAATCCCTGCAGGAAGGGGTTTGTGCAATCCAACAGCAGATGGGATACCCGTGTTCAGATCCCTCCTCTCCTAGGAAGGCATAAGGCTATTGAGTAATTACAAAAATTCTAGAAAAACAGCCAGGAAAAATAAAATACATACATTCTTCAGAGTTTTAAAATGATGTTAATCAAAAATAGATTTCTATTTGCATGTAAACATCCCCATGCCAGGCTCACGGTGTGCCAGCACACTGCACCCAGGGAGCAGGGACGGGGGGCTCCCACCCCCACCCACCCCAGGGTCTCTCACAGCACGGGGGTGTGGGGCAGCAGCCTCACAGCCTCCCCCCAGCAGCTGTCTCAGGAGAATGGCTTTGAAGAGGGTTTCTCACAGATGGGCTCCCTTGAAGTGCAGCGTCCTCGTCAGCCAGAACGGGCGAGTGGCTCGGCGGCTTTTTAAAGCATAAAATATTTAGAGTCAGCTCGGAGGAAATACTGACAAAGACAACCAAACAGCACATTCCCATGAAAGCCTGGCTCCTCCCTGCTGGGCAGAGTGAAACCCCCCCCAATCCCAAGCATCCCAGCGGGCTGGGATAGCCTCTGGACAGGCTGGGATACCCTCTGGACAGGCTGGGATGCTCTCTGGATGGGCTGGGATAACCTTTGGACGGGCTGGGATAGCCTCTGGATGGGCTGGGATGCCCTCTGGATGGGCTGGGATGCCCTCTGGATGGGCTGGGATGCTCTCTGGATGGGCTGGGATAACCTTTGGACGGGCTGGGATAGCCTCTGGATGGGCTGGGATGCCCTCTGGATGGGCTGGGATGCTCTCTGGATGGGCTGGGATGCTCTCTGGATGGGCTGGGATGCTCTCTGGACCTGGCCTGTCCAGAGGAACCTCACAGCCCCTGGTGAGCAGAGCCATGAGGCACAGCTGGGGCCCAGGAGCTGCTCATCCCAGCTCCTCAGCACTGTCCAGCCCTCCCACAGCCCCGCTCTCCCGGGATCCCTGCAGAGCTGCTCCAGATGCACTCCAGGATTCATGGCAGGGGCTCCCAGCCCCGTGCATGGAAAGAGGTCCCAGCTGCTGGGCCAGGCTCTGGATCCCTCTCCCCAGGGCGTGGAGGACACGGGTGGGGCCGTGTCCCCACAGGAGCTCCTCAGCCGTGGCTGCACAGACCCTCCCCGTGTCCTGCCACCAGCGCTGCTCCCCTGCCATCACAGGGGCAGAGCTGCAGCAGCTGCTTTGCTGCACAGCTCTGGCCAGCCTGGCCCGAGAGGAGCAGGGAAGGCTTGTCCAGCTCTTGCCTCAGCTCCTATTGCTTCCACCCCAAACAAGCAGAGCATTCCCCCAGAGCCAGAATGTGCCGTTCCCTGATTTTACCCCCAGACTCCGCAGCCACTCCGCTGCTCCCCTGTGCCAGAGGCCTCCTGACACTGCCCACCTGCCTCCAAGCATTTGCTGGGCATCAGGGCAGGCTCATTTCCTGCCACATTTCCTCCAGCAGAGCCTCAGCTGGATTCACATCCTCCCCCTTGACCAGTTACTCAAAGTCCTCTGTGATTCACAGCTCTGCCTTGCCATCGCTGGAATACTAATGAGGGAAATGTTGATTTATTGAAGCCCTGATATGCCACCGCTGGATTAAACAGTCTATAAAGTATATTTGGACACATTACAGGATTAGAAGAACCCGCCTGGGAAGTTCTTTTCCTCCTTCCTCCACTCTCTTGCAAAAATACCCAGTTTCAAGGACGTGCCACACAGACACTGTGGAGGTGCCAGGCTGGGCATCCCCAAAACCCAGCCCATCATGGGGAGACTGCACAGGCCCCCCCAGACAGAGAAAAACCCCACCTTTCAGTAGTGGTACACCTTGATCTCTCTGTTTTCATCCAGCCCCAGCTGCAGGAGGCTGGGGCTGCTGCCTGGGGGCTTCTGTGCCAGCGGGGAGAGAGGTCTGGCAGCTGGGTGAAGGAAAAGCCTGGTGCCAGCAGGAACCAGCTCACACAGGACAGGTAGCAGGTCCTGAGCCAGCCCAGTGCACACAGGCTGTATTTAGCCTGCTGCACCCCGGTCAAATGGAATTAGAGAGGGATTAGGGAATTCAGAGGCACACCACGCTCAGGGCAGCACAGAGCTCGTGGGGATTTGCTGCTAATATCAGTGTACACTGAGAGACACCCACAGCCCAGCACAAGGCTGGCACCACAGCCTGCAAACAGCACAGAGAGGTTTTGCTCCCTGGATCCAACCCTATGCTACAAGATTCCTCAAAACAGAGCTGCAGAGAGCTCTGGGGGAGCCCAGCCCTCTCTGCCCCACACATCTCCAGGTGCCCTCACCTCCTCCCAGGCTGCTCAGCAGGGTCTGCCCGTGCCAATGGCTCCATCAGAAGCAGCCCTGCACAGCCAGACCCCCTTCTTGCCCACCCCATCCTCCCCTCTGCACTGTTGGGTCCATATTTTTAAATCCTCACACTCCCTGCTCAAACTGCTCCCCTACAGCTGAGCAGCACCACCAAAGAGCATCACAGCTCAGGGAAAGGAAGGGAAACTCCCTCAGTCAAACAGAGCTCAGAGAGCAGCACACAGATCACTCCTGCTCCATCTGCTAAACACCTCTGCAGAACCAGGCACTGCAAGAGAGGCCAAGGCCTCGAAATTGCTGCTCAGTTCTTCATTTCACACCCCTCCTGCCACCCTCCTCCTACCTTCTGCAGGAAGCAGGAATGCAATTAAAGACCAGACCCAGGTAAAAGATACACTTTGGAATCCTTCTTGAAGCCTTTCAGCCATTTCTTGTTGCTCTCAATCATCCCCTCAATATTCCTTGTCTCTGGCTCACTGAACTTGGAATGCTGGAAGAGCCTGATTTGTTCACTGTGGCAGAGAGAGAGAGAGAGTAAGTGGGGAGAAAAAGACGTCTGGGAAGAAAATATCCCAGAGATGAGAAAGTGATGAGCTGCTGAAGAACAAAACACCTCCCCTAATACATTTATACTGATAGTTCACCTTTTCTCCTTAATAAATAGTTCATAGTAATTATCAAATTGTAATCTACTTGTTACGTGAGCAGTGACCCAATAATCACTGCAGAGAAACAGCAGCACAGTGGAAATCTCAAGGAGGAAGGCCCTTACTCTGCAGGGACATAGCCCAGCTTGCTGTCCAGAGGCACAGGACCCTCACTGAGCAATGGGAACCCACCTGGAAAACAGAATTAAACAGAGACCCCACAAAATCCACAGATCTGGCTGTGTCTGCTCTCCTGCACCACGGCCACGCTGTCCCTACAAGGACACCAGGGAAACAGATGGAGAACCCTAGATGGCCCAGTGGAGAGGGCTGGCTCCCCTTTTGCTGCTTCCTTGGGTATTAAAGAGCAGGAAGACAGGATCAGCCAGATGCTGCACTGCTGGAGCGAGCTCCTCATCCCTCCTCCCCTTAGCACCCTTCCCACCAGCAGCACCAGTGCACCCACCCTCCCCAGCACCGGAAGCCTGAGACAAAATCAGAAGCTGCAGGCACCAAAGCAGGTGCAATAAGGCCAGGAGACTCACCTGGGAAATACCTGTGCCATTTCTCTGTCAGCATGCTGTCCACTGACTGCCCTGAGATGGAATAATTAGAGCTGGGCCTGCTGCTCCGGGCCCACTGGTCCAGGGGGGACACCCTGGGGGGGTTCCCCAGGGAGCTGCCCCCCACCAGGCCTGCCAAGGAGGGATAGGTGGGCAGAGGGATGCCCTCGCGGGCTGTGGAGGTGAGCAGAGGGGACTGGTGCTGGCTCAGGGAGTCCAGGAGCCCCAGGACCCCGTTCAGCTCGCTGGAGATGCTCTGCACAGAGTCCCTCAGGTGCTGGATCTTGTCCTGCTGGAGGACAGGCCAGAAATCCATTCTCAGGTCAGCTGAAGGAAGAAGGGGGGAGAAAGGGATCACGGACAAGCCCTGACAAGAGCAGCCTGTGTGCAGGCAAGCCACCCCTCCTGCCTGCCCGCCCTTCCTCCCCCAGCACAACTCCAGGCAACCAAAGCCCAAGAGAAAGCACGAGCAGCAGAGAGGGAATGGCAGCAGCTTCTCCTGCCATGATGTGAGGAAGGGGAAGCCCAGACTCCTGCAGAAGAGCAATACAGACCTGCAGGATCAGAGGGAAATCACAGAGATTTTATAATCCACAGAGATTTAAAAGGCAGGTTCACTCACAGATCCCATCCCTTTTATCTGCCACTATAGGCAGGAATCAAGTTTTTGCAATCAGGTGTGGTACACAGAGCAGTCCCAGACCTGCCTTGGACACACAGCTGAGGCCAGGGACATCAGAGAGGTGAGAGGGAAAGGCAGAACAGGCCAGAGCCTCACATGCTGAGCACTTACACCTCGACTGGCCCAGATTCACGCTGGACGTGCTGCTGGTGTCCTCAGAGGTGCTCAGATCAAACGTCACCACCTTCTTGCACGCTGAACTCTTCAGCATATCTTCATCTGAGAGCTGGTCAGGAGGAGGAAAACAATGCCAGTAAAACCTGCTGTATCATCCCTGGAACATAAAAGCTACTGGAGATCTGCCTACAGCTTGTCTACAGAGCTGGACTGCAGTCAGGCTCAGGTCAAGTGAAGGCAAACTTGTCTCCAGCCCCTGACAGCAAAGTCTGAACATCCAGAGACTGCTGTGGCTCTCAGAGTGCAAGAGGCCAAAGCCAGCAGCCATGTGAACCAGCCCTTGCAGCAGGAGCCAGCATGGTTTGTGCTCTAAATAACCTCACAGCTCTTGCAGGGCCAGGCTCTCTGCACCAGGGGCAAGAGTTTGACCATCCAAGGTCTCCTTCTCTGGCATCTGCCGCTGCCCTGCCTCAGGCCACGTGCTCCAGGCAGAGCCAAAGACTCCCAGGTTGGCCTTGGTCAGGAGAGCAGGCTCCATCCCAGCTGCCCTTGTTTTCTCCTGGATCAATCCATGCAGCTTTTCCAAGCTGCCTTCTGCAGCCACACACACAGCAGCCTCTGGTGCTCTCGCAGAAAGTGGTTCCAAAATCCAGCTCTGCTGCAAACACCAGGAGAGCTTACCTCCTCCAGCAGCGAGGACTCCAGCTGGCTGAGCTTCTCCTCCTTCTTCTTCAGCAGCACCTGTCCTTTCTGCATGGCCGACTTCATCTTGTCCAACTCCTTTGCCTCCTGCACAGCCATGCCAAGGAGGGAAATTAAACAGGAATGACAGGAAATCATCCCTGCCAGCAGCTGGGGTGACTGTCATCACCTCCTTCTGCCCAGCACAGGAAGTGCTGCTGCAGTGAAATCGCTCCCAAGTCCTCAGGAGTGTGGGAAGGGATGTGCACAGTGAGCACATGGCTCAAGGCAGGGTAAGCCCAAGGAAAAGGAGCTTTCACTTCCAAATCCCCATCCAAGAGGGTCAGCTGGAGCACGCCAGGAGGGTCACGAGGGTCATGCCAGGAGAGTCAACAGTGCCACACCAGGAGGGCAACGAGGGCCACACCAAGAGGGCAATGAGGACCACACCAGGAGGGTCACCATGCCCACACCAGGAGGGTCACCATGCGCACACCAGGAGGGTCACCATGCTCACACCAGGAGGGTCACCATGCCCACACCAGGAGGGTCACCATGCTCACACCAGGAGGGTCACCATGCCCACACCAGGAGGGTCACCATGCCCACACCAGGAGGGTCACCATGCGCACACCAGGAGGGTCACCATGCCCACACCACGAGGGTCACCAAGCCCACACCACGAGGGTCACCAAGCCCACACCAGGAGGGTCACCATGCCCACACCACGAGGACCACAGCAGCGCCAGCAGCCGGTGCCAGGGCTGCGAGCAGTCCGTGCCACCCAACACCCGCACACAGGCAGCGCCCAGGGCTCACCTCCTCCAGGCTCTGGCGCATGCCCTGCAGGAGCTGGGAGCTGTGGGGGTCCTGCAGGGTCCCCTGGGCGCTGCGCAGGTCCTGGCCCCAGTGCAGCCTGGCAGCCCGGAGCGCCGAGCGCTGCTGGCGCAGGGAGCGGCTCTGGCGCAGCAGGAACTCCTTGGCGCTGCGCAGGGACTGCCGCTCGGCCGAGATGTAGCTCTGCACTCTGCAGGGACAGGCAGGGCTGTCCTGGCTCCCCGTGCTGCTGCACACCTCAGCAGCACCCCAAAAACGGGGGCTCGGTGCCCGCTCTGCAAACCGAGCTGGGAAGAGCAGGGCAGGGACTGTCCTGGCGCAGGGACACTCACCGACCAAGCTGCAGGTCACTCTCCTCGGGGCTCTGCGAGGCTGGGGAAGGCTCTCTGGACGAGTGCTGAGAGGGTGACACCTTGCTAAAACTAATTGTTTATGGAGGAAACAGAAGCCCAGGGCCCCCTAAGAATCCAGTGAGCAGCAAAAGCTTGGAATGACATCGCCAGGGCACTGCCCAGATCCAGGGCTGGTCTTGATGTGACTTTTGAAGGTAACAGACATTTCTACCCCAACACAAGCCCTGCTTTTGATTTGAGTACCCCACACTCCTCTCCCACACACTAATAACAGACAGACAGCTGCAAATACTACTGAACACACCAGCAAAGAGAAATCCATCTCTGCATCTCAAATGGTTTCACACAGAAGGAACAAATGCGGGGATTTTCAAGGGAGTTTCAGCCTCAGATCTCACAAGGCAAACACCTTCACAGGCTGCTTTACTCACAGCTTGAGGAGTTTCTCTCAGGTCTTCAACACAGAGTTCGGCTTTCTTTCTTGGAGATTCCACACTTTCTTCTGCCTCCAGTTCTTTCAGAGCCTCCTGCTTGCTCCTGATTGCTTCCTCCAGCTCTCTGCCACGGGAAAAAGCAGCAGCAGAGCACTTGATTAGTCTGCAGTGGTGTCCAGAGTAAGCTCCAGATTCCAGCAGGGAAAGGGCCACAGGTGTGCAAGGCAACACCAGGACTGGGCAGGGAAACTGCTTCCCACCCTTCCTGAGCGGCTCAGCCCCCTCGGGAAAACCTCTTTGTATTTCAGTGCCCCTCTCTCAGCACCTCCTTAACCTCCCAAGGCAGGAGTGGAGGAGACAAACGAACCTGACGTGCAGAGGTGAAGGAGCAAATTGAAATTCACACCCTGAGTTAATGAAAAACCTGGAACCAGCCCCCAGCAACTCTGTGTCCCCAGTGGGCACCTCAGGATTCTGAAGGAACATGGCCCAAAACACAGAGCTCAGAGGTTGAGGAGAGCCCCAGGTTAGGTTAGAGAGGTTTGTCAGGGGCACAGGGCAGATTTTTTGGTATCAGAGGAAATTTCTCTCACACACCCGATGCGTTTCTGCAGCCTCTGGCTCCGGCTCTGCAGCAAGTCCACCTGAGCCTCCAGCTCAGCCTTCTGGTCCTGCAGCTCCTCCAGGGTCTTCCACAGCTGCCGGGTGGACTCCAGCAGGCTGGAGTGCTCCTTCCTGCTCTCCTCCAGGCGCAGCTGAGAGGCAAGAGCAGCCTCCTGGAAGCAAACCAGAAAGTCCCTCCCGGTCGTTTCCCCAGGAGCAAAACCAGGGGCACACAGCTCAGGGGGTCCCAGAGCTGCACACCCACACAGCAAACCTGGGAGAACGGGACTGGCTCTTCTCTTTGGGGAGCTCAGAACTAAACCATTCCCAGCACTTTGTTTTCCTAAAACCACCTCCCAGCACTTTGTTTTCCTAAAGCCCCAGTCCTGAGGTGCTGCCCCCAGCCCCAGGGCAGCACAGCCCCTCTGCAGCCCCAGGGTCCGTACGTCTCTTTCCAGCTGCATCCGCCTGTCCTCATCCAGCAGCAGCTGCCTCCTCCTCTGCAGGGACTCCTCCTGTGGCAGGGGACAGTGTCAGAGCCAGGGCACTGCTGATGCTGGGCAGCACCTCAGTCTCCAGGCCATTCCAAAACAAGGAGTGTTGCCAGGTTTGCTTCATGACTGCCCCCTGAAGCACTGAGCAAACCAAGAGCTTGGACTTTCCCAGCAAACAGCAGCACCAGGAATGCTCAGCCCTGCTCTGACCAGTGACAAAGATTTCCCTGTGAGGGGGACGGCAGCAGAAGCCCTGGCTGAGCCTTCCTGAGCAGCTCCCCGTGAGGAAGCAGCCAAAGGACTGGCACAGATGTGGGAAGCTCTGTGAGGCTCACCTGGCTCAGGAGCTGCTCCGATCTGGCCTGGATGTTTTTCATGCGGATCTCGAGCTCGTTCTCCGAATCCTGGAGCTTTCTTTCCTGCACAGGGAGCCGAGTTAAAGAGAATGGCACGAGCTGGAGCGTGACCTGCCCCTCGTGTCCATCACCCTGCGCCGTGCAGGGGGACACAGGGGGAGCCCCCAGGCTGTCCCTCAGGAGCCCCGAGTGCCAGAGCCTGCTGCTCACCTTCTCACTGTGCCTCTGCTGCAGGGCAGCCAGCCTCGCCTGCAGCTCTGCCTGCAGCCCCCTGACCTCGGCGTCGTGCAGCTGCCGCAGCCGTGCAGCCTCGCTGCGCAGCCCCTGCAGCAGCTCCGACCTCTGCTTCTGCTCCTGCCGGGCCAGGGAAACACCTCCGTGAGGCACGGGGCTCTGCAGCAACGCAGCCAGCAATGCAGCACGGGCGTGCAGCACCCGCTGCAAGCGCAGCCCCCAGCTGCAGTACCTCCTCCTGGTGCTGCTCCTGGATCCGCGCCAGGGCCTCCCGGTGCTCCCCTCTCATCCTCTCCATTCTCCTCTCGTGCTCTTTCTCCACCTCCCGGCGTCTGTCGCTCATCAGCTCGCTGAGCTGCAGGGGTGCCAGGGAAAGAGGCTTCACCGCAGTGGCCTCCCAAAAATCAGCCTCCAACCCCAGCCCCAGCCCCGGATGGGATCAGGGATTGTGTCCTGCGAGCACAAAGCCTTCACCCCGGTGAGGGGAGATGCTGAGGGATGTCCTCCCCCTCAGGGGCACCCAGGGCTCAGCCCACATCTGAGAGTGTCAAGAACCTTCAGCACAAAACCAACACTCACCTCACGCTCGTATTCCTTCACTTTAAGGGCTTTTTCCTGCACTTTCTGATCTGCTCTCTGCAGCTCCTCACGTAGCTGGGCCTCCTGGCTGCTCTGTGCCTCTGCCAGCTGGGCTTGCAGGCTGGAAATGACCTGTCAGGAAAGTCACCCACAGAGACTCGCCAGCCCTTTCACAGGATCCATTCCGTGCCCTGGACAGGGCACGGCACAGCCTCACCACCCCAGCCTGGAGCACTGAGCCAGACCAGAGCCACAGCTAGGGAGGGGAAAGAAAATAATGCCACCCTCCCTGGCCACCTTTGGTGACAGCATGAGGGAAAAAATAAAAACCAACAATTTACATTCTAAGGACACCATCCCCACCTCACGGTGCTTCCCCTCTGCTGCAGACTTCAGCTGCTGGAGTTCACTGGCAAACTGCTCCTCCAGCTCCTCTGCTGCCTACAGAAACACGAGCAAAACAGTCTGCTGGGAAACCTCTGGCTGGGGACAAGGTGCATCTGCAGTTAAATTCCATCCAAAAGCATCAAAAGGCACAGCAGTGACCCCTCCAAACGGGATCACTGCAAGGAGCCTTTACTCCCTCTGTGCCTTCCCTCCCGGGGATCTCGATGAATCCCAGTCCTGCTGTGCTGGAGGGACTGGAAACTGCCCCACTGAAGCAGCAGCCAAAGAGGAGCTGATAAAGCAGCTCAGCTGAGTTCTGATCTGATAACAGGGCTCACACAGTGATCCTCATCTTGATGCAGAGTGGCCACTGAAGTAATTGCCAGTTAATCTCCACTGTAATAACAACGGGGGGAGCTCTCCTGCCCACCTCCCCGTGCCTCCGACAGGCTGGCACTGCCCTTGCTGCTCTAAGTGAGCTGTCAGCAAAGCACTGCAGGTGTGAGCTAACCCCCACACCTGGCACCGCCCCGCCCCAGGCCAGCAGGAACTGCCTGCAATAAAGATCTCACCTTCTTCTTCTCCCTGTCTAAGCTGCCCCTGAGCTGGCTCAGGAACTCTTCCTTCTCCCGTTCCAGCCTGCTCATCTCCTTCTGCTGGGCTTCCTCCGCTGCCAGCTTCATTTCCTCCAAGGCAAGCTGCTGCTTCCTCTGCAGGCTCTCCTCCTCCTCCAGCTGCCGGGATTCCCACTCCTCCCTGAGCTCCTGCAGCGTGGCCTCCTGCTCTGCCCTGGTGGGTTTGGAGCAGAGCACAGGAATGGGGACCCAGCACTGGCCCCTCGGAGCTGCTGCTGAGCATGTGCCCGACCCTGCCCTCCCAAACCAGCACTGCCCATCCCCAGGAATGGCAGCAGCACCTCTCACCTCATCCTCTCCTCCTCTGCCTCCATCTCTGCAGCGATTTGGGCTCGCAGCTTTTCGAGTCTCTTGGCTTTTTCCTCTCTGAGAAGCAACTCTTCCTCTTCCTGCTCAGATTTTGCTAAATCTTCTTCTGGAGCACTGAGACAGAAAATAAAAAGGAAGAAAACAGGTTCAGGAGGCTTCAGTATCTCCCAGTCCCCTCCCCAAGGGGTTCAGTTCAGCTGGGGATCTCACTGGCCGTGGTGACACATTCATTTCCCCCCCACACCTGCAGGACCTGCTGCTGGCATGGGAGATGCAGCCCCAGCATCAAACCTGAGCAGTGTGGGTTTAAGACTTGCTATATCATCACAGTTTAAACTTCTTTTGTTTTTTTTTTCTTTTATTGCAGGTAAGTGAAATCCACTCTCATTAAATGGATGCAGGCTCCCAGCAAGGTACCTGGATGCCTTATCTCATCTGAAAGCTCTGTATTTCCATATTATACCTTTTGCTACACTTTTTTTTTCTCTTTCAGGTGCCATTTTTGCATCTTCCTTCACACCCAGACTGCATCCCCATGATGTCTCATGTCAAGATGCTGTTTCTGGCTGCTCAGAACATAAGCATCCAGTCCAGCAAGATAATACAGAAGCCTCAAGAGAAAAGCTCCCCCAGGGAAAGGACAGCTCCCAGTGCTGCTCCACCCCTGCACTGCTCTCAGATCCTGCTTTCCCACAGCCATCCCTGCCCTATTGCTAGAAGCCTTGTCTGCAAGTTCCTGTGTAAGACATCCCCTGTCAGAACTCCAGCTAGCTCCTCTGGGGCAGCCTCATCTCCTCTAATGCTCCCATTTCCAGTCCTGTTGCCACCATTGAGCCCAGGATCTGAACAGCTGCCAGGTGGGAGAGCTCCAAGCACTGAGCTGGAAACTCCTCCCGGGTTATCCATAACCCACAGCTCTGAGTGTGGGATCACAGCTCACCCTGCAGGATGCTCTCCTGCCACTCCTGCCAGGGACCAGAGCCCTTTCCTGAGCTCCACTGGGGCACTGGGCTTGCAGATCCGCACACACAGAACGGTCTGTGCCAAAGCCTGTCCTTCCTCCTCCTCCTCCTCCTCCTCCTCCTCCTCCTCCCTGAGAGCCCTGATGCTGCTCCTTCCCCCAGATCTGCACAGCAGCACCATTTCCCACGTGGCAGCCACAGCAGCACGAGTTTGGCCAGCAGCAGTGAAATCCCACCTTGCAGGAGATGGACTAAAAAAGGAAAGTACCTGAGGGGCTTTTCTTTGTGCTGATGAAGCTTTTCAGCTTCTTCCTCCTCCTCCTTCTGCCTCATCTCCTCCTGGAATTGCTGGATTTTCTCCTCCTTTGCTTGAAATAAATGTATTTCCTCTTGCTCCAGCTCCGTCTCCACCTCCTTGACTTTTTCCTCCAGGGATTCATCCTGAGGCTGGCTCAAGGACTGCTCCATTTCCTTCTCAGGTTGCCTATCAAAGACAAAAAGCTCCTTTGGCAAAAGGGTGACAGGAAACAGAGAAACATAAAAGGAACAGCAACCTCCTCCACAGAGCATCAACTCCAAACCAAAAATCTCAGAGCACCTGGTCCAAAAGCTTCACTGCTGAGCTCAGGTGGATCCTGAGGATCACTGGTGGATCCTCTTGGTGACTCCCAGAGAATCTCCAGATGATAAACTGAACCCCAGCTGCACTCCAGGCCTAAATAACTCCAATTTTGGCCCACCAGAGCTCACCTTGTGAGGTCAATAAAATCTCACTTGATGGAAAGCCCTGGCCAGGCTGCCAGGCACAGGAGCAGATGCCATCAGTACCTGCTCCCAGCCCAGGGATTGGTGCTTCTCATGGACCAGGTATTCTTCTGCAATTGCAACCTAAAGTGTGCTGGGAATTTGCCAGCTCCAGGCAACAGAAAGCCCTCAGCACTCCAAAAATTCAAACCCAATCTGGTTCTAATTAAGTTTTTTTTTTCAGACAGACAGAAGCAAAATTATAAGGTCTGAGAGAAGCTAAAGGGAAAGAAAGGGAAAATTGTGATTAGTCTAGGAAGAAAGATTTTTGTTCTTTGCTAGTGAAGGCTGGAGCAGGAAGGTGTCACCATGCTGTGAGACTGGCAGTGCAAGGCAGAGGGACTTCTGCCAGGAATCAGGGAAATAACAGCCCCAGTTCTTCAGCCTCGAGTCGGGAGAGAAAAGGTCATTTCTGCAGCCATTAGCAGAAAGAGCAAGACAGAGGAAGGTGGTGGGGTTCTGGAACAATCCCCCTTCACTGGTGCCCCCCTTACACCACCTGCAGCAGGTTGTCCTTTATCAGGCTGCTCTGCAGAGCAGTTCAGCCACTTCCACCTGGTTATCAGCTGCTCCTTTTGCCCCAGTTTCTGCTCAGGAGGAGAGCCAGGCAGCACACACACGTTTACAGAGCACCACGCTTCCAGGAGCACAGAGACCCCCTCCCCACCACCCTGTCCCCAGAGACACGCTGCCCAGGAGCACAGAGACCCCCTCCCCACCACCCTGTCCCCAGAG